AAGAACTGGTGCTAAACAGAAAACAAGTACAGAAGGAGTGAAAGGGGAAATACAGTTAATGGCTTAGGACAGCAGGCTGGCTACACTGGTCGTAGGTAAGCAAAAAGAGGATAAAACCTATGAGTAGCGTGATTAGCAAGCAAACAATCCACAGCATGAGTCTCGCCCTAAACCAGACAGAGAGGAGATGGAAGCCCCCAGCTCTGCCACCAGCAAACTGCCCCACACTCTGGGAAGGTTTTGTAGCCTCTGAAGGGCCATTCTGAGCACCCCTGTGCTTACATGACTTTACTTGGGCTGACATCAGTTAAGTTCTGTGTCCTAAACCCAAGGCAGTAGCCATCCTGTTCCATGACAAATCCAGTGACAATGTCTACTACTGCTTACACCTGAAACTCTTTCCCACTCAATCTTTTCAGTATTTCCATGCCAAGAACACAAAGAGCCCTCAGTCATGGAGCTGCTAGTTGGCCAAAAGTTTCTCTCTGCAAAGCACACTCATGATTTAAAACAGAAAGCCACCAAGTTAGTCATAGTTTGTAGTTGAAGCATCCTGTTTGCTAAATTGCAAGCAGTAATGATAGTAGTGACAAAACACATACACTTCCTTAGAAAAAGAACACGTGGGAACTCCAGGAACAAATGACTTAAGTCAAAGCATTTCCTAATTGATAGAACTGAGCGGTAGCAACCTCGGGTTGTCCTTGGATCGCCACCTGGTGTGCCTGGAGATGAGATTCATGGTCCAGGGGAGATAGGTAAGGGGTCACCTTTTAGGAACCTAATGTTAAGGTGCACATTTCAAATAAATACGTATTCTTAATGCAGACACATAACCAAATATCACTACAGTGAAAATAACACTACTAAGTGTACTTTCAGTGCACTTGCATTTTTAAGGCGATAATCTATTTTGTTTAGTACATTTTACATGATTTATAACAAAGGAAGCACCTTGAAGGCTACAAGTGCAACAGCAACATTTGACACCTTATTCTAAAACTGTTCAGTGGTCGTTTGGAGAGAAATTAAAATACATTTCCATCTTTCCGATAAACTCCAATTTTTTCTACATTCAGCATTTGTGTTTTTCCTCTAAGTTTACAGCCCTGGTCACACCACAGTGTTTGGGTAGCTGGTGATGACTTTAACAGCAAGCCACATTCACAATGCAGCAGACAGGAAAAAGCAGAACAAGATGATTTTCAATAGTAACTACACAGATCTCTTTCTGTCTAAAGCTTTCTTTGCATTTTCAAGAACCTCCTGCCACCACTTCACTGATCAGAAGAGGTGTGAACATGTTTTATGCTCAATTTATTATGATAATCTTTTCCTTGATTCCCTCCCCTCCCTTTAAAATGATCAAGCCAGTTTCTGCATGACTGTCAGTATTTTTCCCTACTTCTCCTTCTATGCCTTAGTGAACAGATTGCTGGAAGCTGATGAAAGTTCAAGTACCCAGTTAGCAATAAGCATCCAGAAAGCACAGACCAGCTGTTATCAGAATGCCCCTAAGTCAGAGCAGGATGACCACCAACTCTGCCCAATTTACTCAGCAAGAGCCCAAAGTTCCTGTGTTCTGAACTTCCTATGGGCCTTTTGTTCTTCCCTGGCTAAGAAATAAAGCCAAACACTACAACAAGCACAGAAAACTCACCAAAGCCAAATCAAACTCCACCAGCACACAAAAAGCAGTTATTCTTAACCATTGCTTCTTGGTGGCTCTTTGTGCAGAATTGTTCTGCTTTATTCTTTTCAGACACTATCTGGGTACCTCAAAGGTAACAGTCCTGTGTTTCTGTCACTGTGTGCTACGACATCGCTTATAGCCACCAGCTACTGCAGTAACTTTTAAAATTTTACATTTATTTCAGGGTTTTCAAGTTCCTGGGAGGATTTCTACTTTCTCTCATACCTAGCACAGCAATAAGCTGCCAACCAGCAGCAGCACCCTTATTGCAGGCACGAAACTCCCAAGGATTTTGAACTGTGATGTTGCTTGGCCCTAACCACCAGGAACAGAAGTACACAGACAGAAAGCAGGCAAGATATTTCTTACATTCAATTTTAATTTAAAAGATGAAAGTTCCCTGCTTGGTAGTTGAAAAGTACAACCAGACTATCTCCTAACAGCTTATTATCAAGGCATAATTACTGCTCACATTAACGAATGCATGTGCAAGTGCTATAAATAACAGATCAGCATACTGTATGGCCACGCAGCTTGCAGTTAATTGGGAAACACACGATCAGCTGCAGACTGCCCCTTCCCTGTTGTGGCACTCTTCAGACGTGCTGTTTGGAGCACAAACTGCCCCTTTCCCAACACCCAAGCCGTGCACTGTACGCTAAGTACACGGATGCACCAAACACCTTCCTGTGCTCTCCAGCAAAGCCATGGCCAGAGGCAGTCTCCTGATGAAGCACCACCTACAGATGCAGGGCGCTTCCTTATGAGTCCACTGGCACCCACACTCCGCTCCATTTTCAGAAGAGAGAACTCCGATCCTCCTCCCTGCCTGGCAGCGAGGGCACATTTATGAACAGGCTGCCTAGAAGCATGGGCAGAGCCTCAGGGCAGGAGTTCTGGTATCTTAGAAGCCACTGGGCCCTTTTCTGTTGGATTCAAGAGATGCAGGAGTCTGTCACCTCTCTTAGGCCACTTCTAGCCTCAGCTCACCATAGGAGATGTGCATCGTTCTCACCCAACTGTCGACCTGCCAGCAAGGACTGAGGATGAAACACAAAGGCAGCACTGAGGAATGCTGAGTGCAAGCAGCAGAAGACATTTACACAGCAAGTGTGGAGAGCACAGGGAGTAAAAGGAAGAGCGAGTACATAGAATTTTAAAGGTCAAGCCATTTATTCATACAGATTTAATTTAGAGGAAGCAAATCTAAGTAAACAACGTATCAATGGATGTAAATCTTTATGCAAATAGGACACAGGCCTTGGGCTTTTGACAAGTTGCCAGCACAGCCCTGGGTGCTACAAAAGTTGCACGCTGGCATTACCTTCTGCCCACAACAGCATTTTGCTCATGCAGCTTGATTCCAGTCTTGGACACACTAGAACATACAAACCACGGCTCACAGTTATTCAGAAACTGATAAAAGCAGAGGCAGAGTGGGAGATTTTGGAACATATCAAATAAAAACCAGGTTTAACCACTGTGGGAAGTGGGAAAGTACCCAAATACTTCCTTTTCCTGTTCCTCACAAATCAATGTTCCTCCACAAATCAGTGTTCACATTTTTCTTCCTAAGAATCTCCAAAGAAATAAAAAATATATAAAGAGTAAAAAATAAAAACAAACCAACAAAAAAACAATCCAAGAGCCTCTTGCAAGGAGGAAGGCCTGCAGCTCCCTGTTGGTCAGGAGAAGGATCGGTTGTGCCAAGCCGAGCGGTGCACATTGGGGTGAAGGAGCTCCCAAGGAGACACCAGCACAGCCCCACACATGGCACAGAGGTGCTCTGGGTGCTGGTTAAGCCCCGGCTCCATCCGTGCATTTAAATCTCTCCTGCTCATTTAAGATACACAGCAAGGAACAGAACTTATGATTTGGCTGTATATTAAATCAGCTCATGCTTCGTCTTGTCAAATCAGAATGATCCAGGATAAAAGGTTAGTCCATCACCAAACTATTAACTAAAGGAAACAGCAAATTTATTTTAATTTGCTTTTGAAGTATCATCAAAACAAAGTCACATCCATAATTCTCTTCTACTCATTACAACGATTGCTGTACCACACGCAAAACAGAAGCCTAAAATAATTTTACCGGTATGCCAACTGCACTTATTGAGGTTATTATTTCAGTTTGGCCCATACCTTAATAACAGGCAGCAGTAACGTTTCCTAAGCTTAACAGCAAATCTCATTTTATTTTAGATCAAACGCCGTGAAAAGGAAGCTGTATGCTTACCACGTACGGTGTGTTCTCAAAGTTACATCTCCTGCCTTGTGCCAAAAGGCCAGGTTTGGCGTAACGCGGCTGCAGGTGCTTACATACACCACATAATGCCCCATAGCAATGTCACTTCGCAAGACCTTTCACGGAGATGAAAAGCACTGCTCCATTAACAACTGAGACCAGGACTTGCCTTCTAAACCATATTTAGCAGTAACAGATCGCAGTTTTGCCTGCTGAACTAAAAACAAGACGCCAAAGCAACTCACTGGCCCTAAACCACACTTCTTAAACTTTGCGCTAACACTCAGAAGAGTCAATTTTACTCTTCACGAATTCCCTTTCTGCTCCTGAATACTGCAGTTGGCACTTCAGACAGCCGTGACCGCGCTACAGACGTGTAGGAGCACCGCCCGCTGCGGTGACCGGCTCGGGCTGGGCGAAGTTTGCCCTCCCGCCGGCTCACGGCGAGCACCAGGGCCCCGGGGTGGCGGCTTTGCGAGGGGTGACAGGAGCGGGGCTGCAGGGCACAGCCGCCTCAGCGCCTCGGCAGCGCTGCTCGCCGGGCTCCTCAGCGCTCCTCAGGGGCCGCCCCGCGCCCGGCCGCGCTTGGCCTCAGCCCCGCCACACCCGAGCGGCTCCCGGACCCCCTCAGAGCCCGTCCCGGTCCCCTCAGCGCCCGTCCCGGTGAGCAGCTCCCGCGCGGCTGCCCTCACCCCGCGGGGCGCCTTACCGGCATAGGGGGCACGGCCAGCGGGGCCGGCTCCGGGCTTGCCGAGGACGGTGGCGAAGAGGCAGGCGAGCAGGAGCAGGGGACGGCCACAGCGCCGCCGGGCACCCGGCTCGGCCATGGCTCGGACGCGGCCCCCGCCGCCTCAGCGCCCCGCGGCGGGCACGGGGCTCGGCTCCGCTCCCGACGGGCGCCGCTGGCCCCGCCCCGCCGGGGAGCCGTGAGGGGGCGCGAGGGGCGGGCGCGGGGCCGGTGGGGGGCAGCGCCCTCCCCGCCCCTCCGCCAGGGGACGAGCCCCCCTCAGGCGCCCTCCCGGGCCCCTTCCCCCGGCGGCCGGGCCCCGGGTGGGTCGGGAGACGCCGGCTCGGAGTCCCCCGGGCTGCCCGGAGGAGACGCGTCCCGTGAGGGAGCCGGTGCGCGGCAGGCGGGGGGCTGGCGGGTGCCCCCGAGGGAACCTCGGGCACCTCCCGGCCGCTGCCCCGGTCGCAGAGGGGCTCCCGGAGGGCTGGGGCTGAGCCGCGATCGCTGCGAGCGGTGAATGAGCCAGGTAAAGCGGCCCGGGGCAGCGCAGAGCTCGGCTCTGGTGACAGGGGCGTCTGGGAGGGTGCTTTTGGCCGGATTTCAGGGAAAGAGATTCCTGAGCAAAGGACTTTTTAACCTCCGTTCCGTACAAAAAACTTAGCAGCTTCTTCTGAGTTTCTAAATCAGAGTGTTTTAGGAGTCGTCATCAGAAATAGATAAGCTGATGCAAGCTAAAAAGACCCGGGGTATTCCCCTCTTCTTGCGTATTATGGATATCCGACAAATATAATGGACGCAAAAACAAACCTGATGCCAGGGTCAGGTGAATAAAAGCTGTTAGGAAGGACAGCTTTAAAAGCACCAGCTGTGAAATATGAGCGATCTTCCTAAATCATCCTGATGTTAACGTACAGAGTCTGCACATTGCCACAGAAAATGGAAGCAGCTGGCATTAAGCAATACATTTTTTTCGTCTTTAAGGCACTGTTTGTGAAGATTTTTACCTTTACACAGAGAAAAGATTTGGAGAGAGGGGCTAATGGCTGAACCCGGTGCTCATCATCTGCTACATGAAGAGCTAGAGAGCAGACTGCTCAGAAAAAATGGACCTTGTTCAACTCGGATTATTTATTACAACTTTAGACTTCCTAAACTGAACATTATCCTAAGAAGTAATTTCATTAAGCACATTGTCAATTATCAAAATTCTCTGTATCAAGTATTCGCTTTATAGAAGAATAGTTATCTATTTCTGTACACTGTGAATCTGTTCATCAATCAAAATGGAGTGCCTCAGCATTTCAATCACACTCCTAATTTTTAAAGTCATCTTTTTCTGTATTGTCTTATTGTCCTGCAGCCATATTTAGGCTATGCGTGTCAGTGCAAGACACAATGCAGTCGGTACAAGCCATCTGAAAAGCGGGTGCTTACGCAGCAGTTTCTCCAGCACACTTCTGGTGGCATGTTGTATTGATCAGAAGGCTCTGCGGTGAATACACTCGTGCTGTATATCAAGAATCCATTTATATATTGCATGCACAATCAAAACGTGTGTGTGTGTGTTAAAGGATGCAGCGTGTGACTCTTATTTTGAAATGCTCAGTGTGCACGCAGTGGACAACCCAAGATTTTACAATAAATAAAAACATATTCTAGCCCAAAGTGTGGCACCAAAAAAAAAAAAAAAAAAAAAAAAAAAAAGCAATGAAAAGGAAAAAAAAAAAGCCACAAGCATTCTATTCTTTTGTATTACACTGGAGTTTTGATGTTTTCCAAGTACTCCAAAATTACTGGGCATTGTTTCTACAGAAATTGGAAATCTGTAGTTTTGGATGGCAACTGGTCCACCACTGCACTGCACCTGCTATTCCTACCATAAGGTTGTCATGTAAAATCCTTACTTCTATTAGCAGCGTATGTGCATCACAGTAAATGCATTTCAGAGCCATGACGTTTAGTTATCAGTGCTAAAGATAGCTGCCACTCAAACATGCAGGACGTAGCACACTGGTTTTATTACATAACCATGAATTTGTTTGCAGCTGCGTCCTAGCTAGAAAAAACAGATGCTCTACGATAAATAAGGATTAAACAGTCTAGGTTACATGCCCAACGTTTTGCTAAATATTTTATGTAACATCATCTGGCATACGTTAATTATGTCATTATTACTGTTATAGAAAAAGAGTAGTAATAAATAAGAAACCGATTTTTTCCTTCTGCTCTGAGCTTGGAGCAAAACGTTAATACTGAGAGCATCATGTTAAGCGAAAAGCAAAACAATTACACGAGTACTGTCTGGTATCTTTCAAAGGGTCCTTCTCAGTGGGAGCTGACGTCTGAAGGTCCCCACAGAAGCATGTTCTGTGAATCTCCAGTAAATTGGCTGATGGCAGCTTTTAGCGTGCACCAAAGAGTACTTTAACTGGAAAGCTGAATGCTGAATTAATCACAGATAAAAATAGCAAGCTGTTCAGTTTTCTTTGTGAAATCAGAATATTTCAAAAATTTTCTATGAAGCTGAGTTTTCTCCAGATGAAAGCCAAGAGCTATATAGCCAGCTAAGGGTACTCATGAGTTCTTTCAGATAAGTTATTTTAGCAGTTCTTCGTATTATAATAGAATAAACTGCATTTAAAACTTTAAAATAAGAACTTCTACTACAGAAAAAACTGTAATGAAAATTTTTCTTTAAAGGACATGAAAGACATATAAAGAAGTCCTAGAACCTCATCTGGTCTGAAACTACAACACTTCTCAATTTTCTGCTGTACCTGAGTGTATTAACTCAGGACTTAGACGTCTTGTGTATACATAGCTATGTATAAACCATGCATCACATACAGCTCTGCGGCCTCTAAAAGCATTACATTTAAATGCTTTGTAATAATTAGCATATTCTTTCTCACCACATGGCAGAGAAGTATTATCCCTAGTTTTAAGATTATGAACTGAAAGAATAATGACCTTGAGAATCCATTACAAAATAGAAAAAGCAGTCAAATTTAACATGTTATTTAGCATCTTAATGTGGGTGTGTTTTTGTTTATTTATTTTTTTAACTACACCAAGAAAAACATTCAGATGAATAGGTATCTAAAGGAATCTTCTATCTTTCAGTGCACAATACAGTAAATCACGCATAAGAAGCAGTCTTAGAAGTTGAATTGACTTTATTTGAACAGAATACATTAATCTAGAAAACAAGCTAACTTTTTTTTTTCCTAAACACCAACAAATGCAAGAGACAGCACAGGTATTACTGGAGAAGCAGTAGTTTCATTATCCGTTAAACTACTTAAGAGTAACAAAGCACATTACAATTTATTAGGACATCTATGTGTGAGTACCTGTCCTAGCAAGTTCTATCATGCAGTCAAGTGAGATATAAACTATCCAGTCTTTAAGTTTACTAACATCATAATATGCAAACAATTTCAAGTAAATACTTCTACCTAATTTGAAAAATTTGTCACCTTCCACAGCACCACATGAAGTTCTGGTGTTAAAATAACATTTAATCCACAGCAATAGCTAAATATTTGAAATACTTATGTAATACACCGTAAATTCTACATAAACACTACATACACCCAATAAATAAATAAATACAAAGAACAGGAAGATCATTTGATTAGCAAAGAAATGTATCGCCAGAATCATTTTTCTGTTCTTACGACTTATCCCCAAACCACTCCCAGAAAAGGCACAGATAGTGGTGATTTTTTTTTAAACACACAAAGCCAGAATCAACACAGTAGGCCTGAGCAGTCAAAGGCTGCCCTATTTCTAGGAAAAACAGGTAAGAAATTTGCATCAGATGTCAGAATGTCCCAGGAAGATTCAATCCAACAGAAAATCTCCAGCATCTGCTTACTGTCCTAGGCTCAAATGCAGACAAGAATCAGACGTGAGGTTTAGCGGAATGCTACTGATAGTTTTGGATATGGGTGTTAGCTAGCGTACAGCTTATTATTAATATTGTAGTTACTTGCATATTCCAAGGCAGTAGAGACTCATCTCACAATCAGCTAATAATAGCACTCGGTAGAGATGGAGCTTTTAAAAATAAAATGGTTATTACTGTTCAAAGATTACACTTGTTAAATATTTGCCAATACTTTTAGTAAACAAAACCTTTCAATAAGTAGACCTTTTAAAATGCAATGTAACTACACAACTTATCACGTTTCCTTACACGTAACAGAGTAGAGATGAGAAAATTTAAATCATTCCAATGTTTACTACAGTATCTGAAAAGCTCCCCTTTACCAGGAAATGATGTAGTGTTTGGCAAAGAAATACTATTGACAATTCTTTAAACAAAGACCTACATGTATTCATTTTCCCCTTTTTGTTAGAAATACCATAACTTAGGAAAAAATATTTTAATACATTTACAACCTAAATTATCTAGTAATATTTGTAGCACAACAGTGAGATTACCTTGCATGATTTATATACATTGGTGAACCGTGACTTAAATGCTCTAATGGATTCCTAGAAGACAGAAAGCATTGCTGGAGTCTATCATGTTCTGTTTCAAGTGATCTTTGACAAGGTGGGAAAAGCTCCCATTCAGCATTGCTACTTTTAGGGCATATTCTGAGCTCTTGGTATAACAACCATCCCCATTGATTTAGAAATCTGCAAAAGACGCTGAAATATTGCATTTATGGCATCAAAGAATAAGAAGATTGGGCACTATATTTTCTACATAAAAATGGAGCTTGAGGTATTTATACAGTCCTATAAAGAGGATTGTAATCTCCATGTATAGTGGAGATTAAACCTTACTCATCAGATGGTGTCTGCAACTATTCAGAACTTGCTACATATCATTCCTATGTTATGATATGGAAGCAAAGATCTAATATTGCACAAGGTGCAAAAAAAAATTCTAACCTTTATTAGCTATCAAATTTGAAAACTAACAAAGTACTGAGTATAAAATACTAAAGCAATTGTCCTACACTGAGACTTGCAAAATTAACAACAGTACTGCAGCCTGCTTAGAACCCACATCACTCCACACCGCTGCCTGTAGAGAAGATGCTGAAGTGAGCGCAGTACATCTATGCAAGCTGCAGCACAGACACCTCAAGCCAGATTCCTTCCTCTGTACTCAACAGCAAACCTTACAGCAATGAGCTCAAAAATGGGTTTTGTTGAGACTAAGGGTAATTTCTGGCCCTGTTGACAATGTACATTTTATCAGTGAAAACATCTGGGATAGGTTAAAAATAAGGTATGGATTCACTCACTTGCTTTAAATGGTCATATTAAATCCTATCAACATCGGATATCACGCGCGCATGCACACACACACAATCAATCCGGGTCAGCCACAGAGGCTGAATCAACTAGCACAGCTTGAAGAACAGCAGGTAAGGCCTCTTGATTAAGAATGGGTTAATTGAGTGGGCTTTTCATCTTGCTTTTTACAATTTAAAGGGGTGTAAAACAATTTTAACTAACTTGTTTACATTTTCTCTATAAATTCCCAATCATTTTCAGAACTAGCAGAAATTTTTGTCCCTATTCTGAATGCAAAATAATAATCTCAACAAAAATTATTCTGTTTTTTAATTCATGTACATATATTATGATTTCTCAAGTGGTTAACTGGTTAGTTTTCTAGGCTGTTGTCTGACATAAGGGAACTGAATTCTTTGGGGAAGTATCAGCAACACTAAGCTAAATATAAAACATGTATACTTCTTTTCAGGATAAAATGTAAAATAGTCAACATGGCCTAAAAATTGCACACTATTATTTAACTATTTGTATTTGGACAAGTTAGCTTATCATTTTCCCATGGCCTTTGTAAAGTGTCTTTCTAGTTTGTGTGACTCTAACTAGTGTTATATGATTAATTTCATAGAAAACACATGCACTCATGAAAGGTTATGCTAAACTGAACACATTTGCTACAGGGCATGTTTAAAATACTACTGCTTGCAAGACCATCAGTTTGACACAGCCTGTTAATAGAACAAAATAGGCCAAAATTAAAACTTGGCATGCCAGCACACTTTATTTCAGTATTTGTGAAGTGATCACGAATGATTTTCCAAACTTAGGAGCCCCTTTCACTACTTTAAAAGACCCCCCCACACGCACACACACAAAAGTCTAACAATTCTAACACCATATTTGTTCTTTACCAACTAGCATATACCTTTAATGGTTTAAAGCGATTAACTCCCTCAAGATTGTGCATAACCAGGCATTACTGAGGAAATAAAGACACTCATCACTATTCTTCTTAAATTTTATTCCATAATAAAAAATAGAAGATGAAAGAAAGTGTTCGAGAATTAAAGCAATTATTGGTCAATATAAGGAGCGGAAAATCAATTATCTGAATGATGATTAAGGACCTGGTTCAGCAAAAGTAATTCTGGTTTCATACAAATTCATGGCGTATTTGTAGGCTGCTACAAAACAGAAATCCAGATTATCTTTTACTGAAGCAGGTCCTGTATTATCTACAGAATATTTGATTTCATATTCTATTTATCCTTCTCTTTTTGTTCTTTTTCCTTCTTTTCACGTTCAGCTTTTGCTTCCTCCTCCTCATGTTGTTTTATCAACTGCTCCACCTCCTTCTGCTTCAGAACCCTTATCACTGTCTTTCCGTTCTCTCTGGTCAGTGTAGCAATTTCAACTGAAACATATGGAACAGACAGCGGCATTACATTTTGTCCTTTTGAAAGAGCAATCGTTAGATGGGTTAAGATTTGTTACAACTGGCAGCGAAGCAGAAGGTTCTTGTCCTGCCTCCACCTAATCAACAAAGCCTGGATGCCGAGCCAGGTGGCAGCAGTCTTCTTCTGCAGCAGCACACCCAATACCTCTCCAGTGGTTTTTCCACCAGACACTTAGCCACTTCTGCTAATGCACCCATGTGGCCTACCTACAGTGCCTGAACTGTGGTCTAGCCCCTGGAGCTGACCACATTGGATCATCCTCAACCAAGTCATAGGTATGCCTCTCAGCAAGGTTAACAAGGATTGCTACTATATTGTTGAAGATTTTTTATGTGAGCACTAAAAATCCAGTAAGCCACATGTGGAATATAGAAACTTACAATTTTTTTTTTATTATTATTATTTTTTTTTTAAGGAAAGAGCGTTATCCCAAATTGGAGAACTGCTTACCTTTCTCTGCAGAGAGTTTGCTAACATCCATGGTCTTGTTTAGAACCTTAATGGCTAACGCAAGCGCAGTCTTTAAGGTCATTTCCCCTTCTTTGTAGTCTTGTTTTAGCATTGACACAGCTGCCTATAAATTCCACGGAAATTAAAATGGTATCATCGGACAATGAACCAAAAAAGGTTTTGATATTATCGGCAAAAAACAAGTAATTGTGTTTGTACAGTTATCCATTTCTGCTCTGTACTCATAACCAACAATTCAATTTAATTAGTACAATGCAACTTATGTACTTTTGGTTTTCATTACTTTTGGGGAGAGGAAAAGCACAGAACTTACAGCACTATTATTCCCAATGCATGTGGCTTTCCATCCTCCATAATTTCCACTAGGATCACTTTGATACAGCTGAAATCCATAATGCTTATCCCAGCCAATGTACAGCAGTGAAACACCAAAAGGACGTTTTCCTGTTGGAAAGAAGGCCATTAGTAACCTAAATTTAGTAACAAGATTGGTCACAATTATTTTCTTTGATTTCCTTTGTCAAACCCTTTCCTATGAACTGGGATTTAACAGACTGTTCTGCACTTCTGCTACTTGAGATAAGCACTACAGCGTTAGTTCTTTCTAAGTGAAGAGGGGAGGGAATAGCAGAGGTTTATTTCATTTAACCCCAATAAGCAGCTCATCTCCATCTCCACAAATTGGAATTTATCATCTCTGAACTTTAAATCAGAATTCAGCATTTGAAGTATGTAGTTAAAGCATTTAACTTATAAGAGTCAAAAGGCAAATATATTAAAGGTCATTCTTCCACATTACATATACATAAAACACCATTATAGTCAGTTCACATTCTAAGGAACACTCCTTACAGTGCCATTTTCTAACATGTTCCTCAATCCACCAAAATACTTTTTTTTCATTGTTAATGTTTTACAATATTAATACCCTGCTACATGTAGCAGAAAAAAACATATTGCTATTCATTACAATGGAGAGACCAAAACTTTTAAAAGTCTACACAGCAAACAATTTTCTGTTGGTCTTTTGGAAGGCGTTCACTAAACTCAAGAGCACTCAAAGCACTGGGCCTGAAACTCAGCCATCAGTTTCTCTGTGACTAAAAAGTAGCATCTTCAATAGCAAATCAAGTTTGTTACTAATTATGACTGCCTGTTCCCCTCCTAAATTTGGCTACAGTTCTTCTTGCTTTAACTTGTTACAGCAGAATTCAGTAGAACTGTCCAGAGACTCAGATGCTTCAAATTACATAATAGAATCTTTCTTTAGACATTTAAAAGCACTATGGTTCCTCACACTTCCTTACCTCCAAACTGGGTGTAGGCCTGCTTGATATCACACAGCGCGGTTACCAGCTGCTCACAAGGAATGGGCTCCTGATACTGTAACAAATACCTAGTATCAAAGACAAAAGAGTTCTCAAAAATTTTGTTAACACTATCCTGGTACATTTAACATTTAGCAAGCTCCTACATTAAAGCCTCTCCAACCTAGCTGTTTTAGTTCAATCAATCTTAATTCTACTGAGCGCGTGTTCATTTTGCTTTAATACATAGACAGAACTGAATCTGGCATCGTAGGCAAGTAAAATCACATAACTATCAGCAAACCTACCTCTGGGCAATCAGTCGCAGTTCATTTGTCAGAACGTTGGCATCGGAAGTTATTCCTGCAACACTGCAAGCCATATCCCTGCAAGAGAAGCACACGAATGAATTGGATTCCTATCAGTCTCCAAGAAATAATCCTGTCTTCATGCAGTAGCTCAAGCAGATTACCTGCTGTTGGGCTTCTCTGATCAAAACTACACAGCTGCCACGTGCAACAGATTGCTAAGCTCCTGCATTTAGAGTACACGTATGTTGAAAGTATAACAGTTTTGGCAGGAGGAGAAAAGTTTTGGCAGGACAGCAGAAAGCAAGCAGCTCAGCTACTCATACGGTTCTGAGGACTATGCCAAAGACGATTAACCATGTTGACAAGATCCTGAGGATCTTCACAAGAGCCACTAGCTACAAGCAAGTACCTATTCTGGGCACAACCTGACACAGACAGCACGCCAGAATACTAAAGGAGCCGTACAGCTTCTGTGACAGCCTTCAGTGGGATTCACCAATCACACATGGCATTCATATAAACATGAATTAGAGATATTGATGATTTCAAAAATCACCATTAACTGCTTTAGCTGAAAATTAATCTTCATTTCCAGCAACATATAGTTTGCGTCCTTGACTGTTTCTTAATTAACACCTCTTATCTAATTCTTAATTGTCTTAATTTTTTTTTGCCAAATCTGATACTGTTGTAAAATTTTCACTACCAGACAATAATTCACATTCTTCTGAAAAGTTCTTAATTTAGCTAAGAAGATGGAAGAGCCGGCCTAGGCAACCACTCCACTGCACTTACTATACTGCCACCTCCTCAAAAATCCAGTACTTCCTACAATTCCAGCTGCTTCCAAAATAATTCAGAATGGGAAATCAACAGATGAAAACCTGTTTGTGTTTCATATGCACCATACAATAAGGCTGAAGCTCCATGACAGGTTTAACTTTTATAGAGCTAGAAGGTCACAATAGTGACATACATCATCTCTGCTACAGCTGCAGCAAAGAAAGCTAAGGCGTGTTTTACCTGATTTGTCTTACTCTCTTTGAATAATACAAGGTGAAAAAAAAGATGTAAAAGAGGATGCTGAGCTGACTCAGCACAGTGATTTGTGGATTATGTATTACCCATCCACCCCTTGCTATTTTGTAACCTGAGAACTCTCAGTTTAAGAGTGATGTAACAACATTATGGTGTATGGAAAGTAAGAAGAAACAGGCTATTCCTCCTGGAAAATTATCTTTAGAGATAAAAACACAGTGCTCCTTTAAAACAATCAATGAATGCGGTAACGATGAAGTAGTCATACGCAACTGTAGCACTGAACAAAACAAATATAAACATTTCAAATAAATCCAGGCTCAATGCTAAAACGTCTGAAGAGTTAGCCGTAACATCAGTGAACATCTGGTCATCGTTTCAACTTACTCATTAAGTTTGTATATTTTCTCTGAAAAAAAAACTTCATCGAGGAGCTTGTGAATGTTGCGTCTCTCTGCAGCTAGCAGAACGCCATCGTTTGCTAGAATCCCCAAGCAAGTACCCGCATGTCCGATTGCTTCCATTGCATACTCGACCTGATACAATCGGCCTAGGAAACAATTTAAATTATAACAGCCATAAAATAGCACTGAATGAGACCAAATATGCAAAAAGGTGATTTAAATACGCAAGAATATGAAAGGTGCTTGGTGTGCAAATTAGGATTATTTCTTCAGTCTATCACCAGTCACTAGCAGATTAATTTTTTTTGAAATATAGGAAGGAGTCAGAAGAGAGAAAAAACACAAATCTGAAAAGGCAATTTTGGGCAGAGTCAGTGTGGAAAAAAATAATTTACTAAGCAGAAAAAAATAAAGAACTCTCTGAAACAGTAGAACAAGACAAAACGAGTTTTAACTGAAAAAAAAATACTAGATTTTGTATCAATCACTTCTACAAGACATCGAAAAAAATATTTGCAAGTGCTTGCTTCAGCACGTATAAGAATAATAGGGAGATGTGATCACACCAGCAGGATGCTATGCACATTCTAGGGGCTAGGGGGCAAAGCAGTAACAAAACCCATCCACACTCAAACAAAAGATGAACGGTAAAGATTTATTTGAATTATTTTTAAAAAATGCATCAGTGGTATTTGGTGGAAACGTACGCACATTACTGCTTGAATCAGAACAGGAAAGAATTTAAAGCCTCCACTTTGGACCTTTGGAGTCCATACAGAACCGGGCACTACTCCGGGCGGGTAACTCTGATTTCTGCATCTCGTGTGGGCAGAAACGCGGGGAATCTGTGCTTATCTGCGTGACACCTGGTTCCGAACAGCGGTTTAAAACATTTACGGCTCATTGGAAAAAGCGCGGTTAACGAGTACCTTCTGGAGAGAAAATGGTAGTTCTGGAGTCGTATCTTCGAGACTGCAAGAAGCAACAACAAACAGCCCGTCACCGCCCGTCACCGCCCCACCAGGCCGCGCCGTGGGGCCGCGCCGCCGCGCGGGGCCGCCACTCACCATGGTGCCGGCGCGGAGCTGCGGGCGGGCGGGCGGCGAGCGGGCCTGCAAGGAAAACGGCGAGGAGCGGGAGCGTTACCAAGAGCCGGGGCAGCGGCACCGGGCCCGATCCCAATCCCGATCCCGATCCCAATCCCAATCCCAATCCCAATCCCAACCCCGATCCCAACCCCGATCCCAACCCCGATCCCTTCCCCTTTCCCTTTCCCGGCCGTCCCCACCCCTCCCGCCCGCAGTGCGGAGTCATCGCCGCCCCCCCCCCACCGGAGGACGAAGGCCCCGCGCGCTCCCCCCGCGGCTCAGGGCCGCCCCCCGGGGCCGCCCCCGTCACGGCGCCCCCCGCACTCACTGCGGGCCCACTGCGGGCCGGCCGGGCCCGGGGGGGGGTCGGGGCCCTGCCGGCGGAGAAGGCCCGGGCGCGACGGCCGCTCCCGCACCTTCACCGCAGCGTCGGAAATGGCCGCCGCGCATGCGCGCTGCCGCCGCCCGCCCGAGGGCGGGGCCCGCCCTGAGGGGCGGTAACGGCCGCCCGCGCGCCGCCTCACGGAGCCCGCCCTCAGCCCGCCCCCCCCCCCCAGCTCAGCTCGGCGGCCGCGCACCTGCACGGCGGGGCCGGGGGCGCCTCAGTCGGCGTCCCCCCGGGGCCCGTAGGCGCGGGCGGTGTCAAACCAGAGCTGCTCGACGGCGGCCTGCCCCGCCTCGGCCATCCGCGCCAGGTGCCGCCAGCCGGTGCGCGCCGTGACCAGCAGGTAGTCGCGGTTGTGCGGGTAGGCCAGCGCCGTGTGGGCCGCGATGACGAGGGACTGCGCGAAGCGGCCGCACACCAGGAGGAAGAGGGCGCCCCGCTCCGCCGCCGTCAGCGGCACCACCCGCTCGAAGCCGGCCAGGACGTGGCCCCCGACCCGCAGCGGGTCCGCGCTCTCGATCATGGCGTACATCATGGCTATCGCCACCTCAAACACGTAGTAGCCGTAGCTCATGTCGCTGAAGTCCAGGATGCCGGACACCCTGTACTGAGGAGCCCCCTGGGAGGGAGAGGTGCAGTCCACCAGAATATTATGGTCATTGAGATCTCCGTGATTGATACCTGAACACAGAAGAAACAAATAATACTAAATAATTATTAATCAGCACATTTTTTTTCCAGTTTCTCAAAGCAACAGCTGTGAAAAGATGCACAGAGGCTGCAATTAACACTCTGCTACAAAACCAGACGAGTGTCCCCTGCACTGAGTGCTGCCTTCAGCAGCCTTGCTGCTCCCTAGGAAATACAAAGGGCCTAGAAACTCCACTAACTGGTGGCCAGACAGCAAGGGAGAAGTACAAGGTCTGATTCTGCTCCGGTAACACCTGTTTTATGCTAGAATAGCAGAGTTTTCAAACTATCAAATCGTCAACTTACCACAATATCATTGTGAGTTGGATTTAGAAAAATAGTAAATATTTGGACTCGATGATCTTGAGGTCTCTTCCAATCTAGAAATTCTGTGATTCTGTGTGATTTACTTAGACCTTTATGAAAGGAGGTAGTGTACTCCACATATTCTTAAGCTAATGAAACAGCATCAAAGTCATGACCTTAACTGAAACAACCTCAGCAGATAGGTGAAGAACTGAACCTGACTTTACCAGTACTGCACAGCACGCTCCCCTGGCAAGTTCTGCACTGCCAGCAGCAGCACTGCAGAATTCAGCACAGTATTTCCACGTGTGCTATGGATAAAGGAGGCTTCTTTTGCCTTTTTTTTTCCTTCTCCATGAACCCTCAGTAAGAAACGTCAGTGTCTCAGTTCAACATAATTAGCTGAGAATAAAATACTCACAGGCTCGAAAACTGCTTAGTTTGGGTATGACTTTCTCTTTAAATTGCTCAATAACTTGTTCCACAACTTCACGATACTGGTTCTGGCCCAGGGCATAAATGTACCGATCTAGAAGAGGGACGTTTGCCAGGTTCCAAATGAACTGGCCTCGATGCAGACTTTTCACTGATGGATGATGGAATTTCTTTAGAAAAAGTACAAGAGAAAATAGGCCATAATTAAAAACCCATTCCTGTGATTAAACACCTTGATTCAAAGCCCCTTTTAACAGGTTCCAAACAAGACTTGCTGAAAAGCACCACACCACTGACCATTTATATCAACCAGCAAAAGAATAATCTGACGGATTATTTCAGACAAGCATCTTAATATCTACACAAAACATTTTTCCCCCTATTCTTTAGGTACATAAGTTATCATAAGTCCTTTGTCGCTGAACTCATTTAAAATTGATGCATTCTGCAATGTTTCTGCAAGTGATACTGACTTTCTAGCAGTTCTGAGGCCTTGCCAAGGCTGGAGCCGCACATGGGCAGAGTTTGGATTGTGCAGCTGAGCTGGCACTGCAAAAAGCTGCCAAAGGATTAGAGACACAAACTGTGCCAGCGTGTCAGAACAGTTACACAGATGCACTCTGTGCACTTAAAGGTGGCAGTTTTTGGGGTTGAGCCTTAGAACCCACTGGCACATGATAAATCCTGAAGACAGGAATTTACAGAGCTGCTGACAGGTTTATTCTTATGAAAATGTCTACAGGATCTGCAGTACACAAAGACCCCAGCAAATTGACCCACGTGCAGTAGGCTATGCGCATCTCACTTGACTTGTTTGGAAAGGAAGTTCAGCCAAATTGGCTGTGTATGACTTTGCCTTTGTGCATCCAGGTATCCTAAATATTTTAAACAAACAGGATCTCTCTCTCTCTCACTAGAAGTAAAAAAGGTGGTTTGGAAAGTGACCTTTTGGGAGGAAAAGCTTCTCTCTCACTGCACACCACTCTTATCCTTGAACCCTTTAACGCCCATTAAGGTACCTGCGAACCAGATACTGCCACTGCACAGGGCACATATAAACACTTCCCATTACAGCTGCTGCCTTCCTCTTAAAAAGAAATTAATGCTTAGAGTTAAGGCTATTACTTAAAGATAGCTAAATGATAGTTAAAACTAGAGCTATATGAAAATTTAAGGAGCAATACCAAGCCTAAAATATAAATCACTGCAGAGGGTCCCTAACCCTTTATAAAGCACCACACTGGTGCTATCTGGTGCCATCTGGTGAGCAACCACTGCAATTTCCCCAGCACAAGTCAGATATTCCAGCCAACTATGAGATACCAGATGCATGAAAGGTAATAAAAAGGCAGAGATCTCAATCTCATGAGCCCTCATCACTATGAAGCCATCAACAGCCACTTTTTTTCCACTTATGAAATGAAAGACGCATCCAGGCAAAAGAAGACACCAACAAGAGAAGGTGGAATTATTATTTGGTGCACAAAACAAAGCATGGGACATTCCTTTGCTATCAAACTGACCAAGCAATTAACTGGACAGAAAAGGCTGTACGTCCTGATCTGCCATCAGAAAATACAGTACCTTAGGTATTACTTTTGGTGTCAATGATATCTGGGAGTTTTGACAGTAACAATTGCAATTTTCTTTGTTTTAAATGACAAAACTTGGTAAATAATAACCCTTATATTAAGGGCACGAGGAGCATTTCCCTTCAAAATTTGCACTCACATCTGCTGCTTCCTACTGGGCAGGAGAAGTCACAGGCATTTTTTGAGACCAGCTGGTCTTTATAAATTATTTTAATCACATTATAAGAGCACGATCAGAATATTAAAAGCCAATAGTAAATTATCTTTCCCAATGGAAAAATGCTGCTGTAACTTAGGAATGCGGTTGGTAAAGCTAGCAATTCACATCGCATAATTGTCTGAAGCTGGTAGCCAGAACATGAGAAGGAAAGGTTAATGAAAGGCAATAAATAATTCAAGAGTTCTTTGATGTATCAAACAATCACTGGATGATTTATCAGCTTTATTATTCTGCATAGTTACAGAGGAAAGAAAGAACTTACTATGCATTCAGATTATTTGACTGGAAGCAGAGAAACTGACAGAAGTGTCCCAAATATCTCTTCACTAGCACAAGTGGCATTACAGAAAAGGAACCAACTGCTACCACTGCAATAACTGGTCATGGTTCTAATGATCAGGAGAGCAAGTCAAAATGAATTCAAATTAAAAGCTCACGCAGTTGTGAGCACCATTTTTTACAAAAATGCTTCAAAACAAGCTGTACGTGCAGGCAGCCTAGGATTCAGTCTTGTAATTTGCCAGACTTGAAATACCTGACAGGTGAGTTTTGCAAAACAAAACAAAACAAAACAAAACACTTACATCCCTGTTCAAGGTACAAAAATGCATTGCAAAAGGATCACTGAGACTCTGCCATAAGCACTGGCTGGTTGTGTTACCTGGGGAAATGCTATAGTAACAGCCAGCTTCCCCAGTTACAGCATGGGGGCCGGCACCTGGAAGTTGAATTCAAGTCTGCATTCACCATCCTCACTTTTACAGTCAGGAAAGTTGACAGCAAACACAAGAAGAAACAGAGGAAAAATCTATTGAAGTTTTTCAAGCCAGAGCAACAAAAACTCACCTCTGTGAGAGCTTTATCCAAACTGGCAGCTAGTTTACCAATCTCATAGAAAATCTGAGGATTTGTAGCAAGTTCTGCAGCAACTTTTGCTACTGGTGTACCCGGCAGGTAAGTCAGCAGCCTGACCATGTACTTTTTGTTGTCAGGCTCGCTACCTAACAAGCAAGCAGAAACACAGTCACTTCAATACATGCTACTGAGCATTAGTTAACACAAGAGGCAAAATGGTTTCTCCCAGTGCAGGAGTCAGGTGTAGTTGAAAAAACAGATTCCATTCAAAGATCTTGTGCCATACCTCAAGCCCACACCTACTGACACTTGCAGCACTGCTCTTACTCTGATCAAGGTTCTCCGGTGTCTCTACAGATTTTTCTATGTTATCACTCTGAATTAAGCAGGCGGCTCAACCCTGATGTTCTCAACATGATATTCCTGCACCCCAAAGCAAATATTTCACCAGGGAAGTTCTTGTTCAAAAGCTAAAGGTGAGATGGATCAGGATCTACAGGCTTGAGAAAGTACCAGACCACTACTGCAGGCACAGGAACCGCTAGAGGTGGAAGCTGAGCGCAGAGTGCCTGGTGAAAACCACCAGCTCTCATGCAACTTGCTCCGGCTCGCTCACGTACGAGCAAGTAATCATCCAAGATTACTCCACATTCGCATCAGCGCAACGGAGCAGAATGCGGGCTGTCACCGATCCAAACCCTCTGCTGTATTGCAACAAGCACGTCACAAAACTACCACTGAGTTAAGGGTGATAATAGGGCAGAAAAGGTCCTTGTAATTGCTCACCTCTTGGCTCCAGAGACATGATGTTACCATCTTTTGTAAGGTAAGGTGTAGCTGAAGGAAAGCCTTCAGCACTGAGAAATATCATGGCCTGTGTCTGTGCTTCAATGAGGTCAGGCTCCTGGCTGTCTTCCGAATTGGTGATTTTAAGGACATATTCGTCTGCACCTTCAGCCTCACCTTTGCTTCTTAAGACACGCACATGGAAATTCTGATCATCATAGCTGGGGAGAGGCCTGATCCAGGACACCTTTAATCCAAACACCCTGTCAACCAATTCTGTTGCTTCCTTTTCACCAAATGCTGGTTTGCTCAACGTCTGTGGTTGGCTCTCGCTTTCAGAAGACATCGTGTCTCTAGGAAAAAAAAAAAGAGATGCTGGAAGACACAATCTGCATTCTGACATCGGAAGCAGCGGTTACTGCAACAAACTGCATTCAGATAAGTGAGATGAGTGTGTTAAACAAGGAAAAAAACTAACGTGCTAAGCAAGTCTGCGTTTCTTATATCACAGCTCCTTGCCAACTGCTTTATCTGTTGCCCCCCAGAAGTCAGCCTCCCAAGTGAGCTGCACCCAATCTGTTCTCAGCAAGCAGACAGAACAGAATTGTTAATGATCAGCGCTTTTATCGCCTGCTTTCCAGTAGCAGCCTAACCCAGTGCATCGCTAACAGGGCACGACTTCCTAAGGCACAGAGTTACTGATTTCCTAACCAGAGAGCTCTCGATTCGCAGCCGCGAAAGGTAAGCAAGACTTTTGCGGATACTTGGCGGCAGAGCAGGCCTGCTCGCTCAGCCCGGCCACCACCAGCTGCAGCGCTCGGGGGCGCAGAGCGCACGGCGGAGTCCCGCCCGCCCGCTCCAGCCGCAGCTCTCGGCGCCCGCCCGGCTGCTGGAAGCGCCGAGCTGCAGCCTCCGCGAAGCGAAGCGAGCAGACGCCGGGGGGCTCTGCCCGGGGACCTCTGGGCTGCCCCCGCTCCCCTCCTGCCGCCCGCAGCAGCTCCCCCGCCCCGGGACAACGCGGCCCCGCCGAGCACTGAGGCGCTGCCGCCGCCGCGCCTGCGCCCGAGCCGCCGGGCCGGGGCCGCGCCTCACGGGCTGCGGGTCGGGGGAGGCCCCGCGGGGCCTTGGGGCACAGGGGCTGCTTCAGGCCGCCCCTCTGCTGAGTGGCCGCCGAGCCCTCAGCCAGGGCAGCTCCCAGGCACTAGGCCGTGCGCCGCCCGCCTCCTGGGGTTGCTCTCGAGCAGCGCGGAAAGCTGCAGCTTCCTGTCAGAACCTGCAAACATTGTCCAAACGTGCCCCTGCTAGCCGCAGAAACAGGTCCACGTGCGTGTTTAAATCATTTTATGAGTACACAAGATTTGGAAAAGTCGTGGTTTGACCTATAATCATTTACCTAAAACAAACTTGATGCATCAGCCGACTCTGACCTTTGGACTGCACCAGAACTCAGGCTGGCAACACTTGAGCGGTCTCAGAGAATTTTAAGACTTTGTACCCGCTGACAAAGCTCACTTCCCCCCCACCACACACACCTTCAGTACAGAACTTTCCTCTGAACCCCTCCCGACAAAAACGGAGTAATCCACAACACTGAGGTTCAACAATCACAGCATTGGGAATCTGAAGAAAAGGCCAAAATCCTAATGTTTTTAAGTAGATCAGTTTAAAAAGCCTGTCTCAATACTTCAGTGTTATGAATAACATTAAATACATTTGAGAATATTTTAATGCATTTAGGAATTCATATGATAGAAACTTCTTCCAAGTAACAAAGACAAGGTCCTTTCTTTTTTCCTTCCACCCCATTTTAGAGCAGATATTTCTACTGTTAAACATGAAGATACAATTCAATCCAAATTTAGTAATGTTTATAAAAGGCAAGTAAACAGCGCTGGGTGCCAGTGGAGTCTATGCTCTACCATCATGCACACACAAACATCAAACTTCCTAAATATATATAGAACATTGCTTTTACATATACATAAGAAACCCGAGTACTTGTATACATATGTGCAATCAGAAAAGGTATCAATTGAAACAACCATTTTTGATTAACAAACAATCCTTTAAGTCTATTACTATTAATGTCCATGAGTGGGGGAACACAGCTGAGTTGGTAATCCTGGTGGAAGTGCTCCCATATATTCCATGCCATCATTATTTTTTCTCAGATCATATAACAGTCTCCATTTGCCATTCCTTTTCTTGATTACAGACACCAGAACTGTATGTCTTGCTTTAAGTTGTTAAGCAATCAGCCTTCGGCTTTTATGCATTCCATTCTTCCCGGAGCAAAGGGAAACAGACCCATCTCCTTTTCAGGGCCAACAGGGCCTGGGTCAAAAGGCCCATCCAGGTCAGCAGTGGGCGTAACAGCAAAGGCCTGCGATGGCTGTAGCGGCGGGGGATAGATGGTGTAGCAGAAGTATCCGTGGACGAGCCCGCAGCTCCCTCACTGTCTGGCAAACCACACGTGTCTGACTGTGGTCCCACAGGGCTCTTTAAGGCTTCAGAGACTGCTCGCAAGGTACCGAGCAATCCCACTGCAACCTTGCCGTTTTTAGTAGCAGAGTCCCACACCTTGACCTCAATTTGGTCCCGTATTTCAGAATCATAATCTGTCCAATTGTTAATAAAGAGAATAAGCTGTACGGTTACCAGGACAGTCTTTGTTCCTATGATTCCCCATAATGCAGAGCTGCTTACCAGCAAGGGGCCTCCCAGCCCCATGAAATCACAAATGAGCTTTTTAAGATTAGAGGTGCTCTAGAAGACTGAAGGTTCTCTCTCAATTTCTGAGACAGAAGGTTTAGTTGACTGAAGGGCAACAGAGATAACAGGAAAGCATTGCTATTCTTGCTATGCTTGTGACTAAAGTATGTAATCAGAAGGTCCTCACTCGCTCCGTAAACAATAACTACAGTGCATTTTACAGTTAGTCCTGCCTTAGTCTCCAGACAGCAGGGCCAACATTTAAGACAGTTACGCATGCTTCTTGCCTGCCTGGTATTCTGGTGGAAAGCATGCTGCATTCATAAGGCAACCCCCAGGGCTAAAGCTGTACTTCAGCCTTTCCTACCATTATCTGTAAGAAAAATAAAATTACCATCTGCATTGGATACCAGTTTAATTGCCTCTTCTGAATGCAAGTCTTTGAGGACAGGCTCATGTCAGATAGCCCCAAGTCAACTTCGGAAAAACTTGTCACATACGTAAGCTCTACATGCCATAAATGTAACCTTAGTCAGCAGTCTGCTTTGATACATGGGTTGATCTACATTCTAAATTGACGTAGATGTTTACCTTAAGAAAAATAAGCAGATTATTCATTAGTCATTTGATTTAATAACCACAGGGATATCTGGAGCTCAGCTGACAAAGGAAGCCTTCTTCTAAACTGATTAAGCACGCTTTGGAAAACCACATGAGATACTCCTAAAGAGAAAACTACACTGATGCATAATGATACCCTTTTCCTTATTCACCCTACACTTCCAGACTTCGTGTCATTTTAACTTTATTCTACACGATCTATTAAAAATAGATGGTAACTACAAGAACTGTGATACAATTTTCTTTATTAAAAATAATTTACAGCATCAGTAACATTTTATGCACAATTGTCATCAACTGAACTTCTTGTAAGATACAGCTATACAATACTTACTGAACTTAAAACTTATGACTGTTTTGTTGGCTTTAAACAGCAGACAGATTTGCAGTTGCTTAAATATTATCAATATACATAATTTCATGTCCTTAAACTTCAGTGTAAAGTGTATAAACATCAACACTATCCCAAAGTTTTGTCATTTGGAGGGGGGGGAAGGGCACAGAGTAAATGTTTAGAAAAACTGTAATAGATTCTTCTCCAAATCAAACTGGAGACAGAATTCTAGGTTACATACATCTAACACAGTCACTTCCTCAGAAAGGAGCACTTTCTCCTATATTTTAAGATGCTATGAAGTCTGATTGAACAATGCTTTTTTGTGTGATCACAGCAATCCTCAGACTGTATTGTATACTGCCACTGCCAGAAGGCAAACTTCACTGTTGCTCACAGGTTCCTAGCACTATGTTCAAAGTCAAATGTCCCTCCTTCACTGCTGAATTATTGACCTGGACTGTGTAATTTGTAATGTTCACTGCTGCACATGGGGAGAAGGGACAGGCACGCTGCCATGGATAATCACACAAGGGTTCTTCACTGGCAGTTCACTACCACGCAAGAAGCAGGAGATGGCTATGCAAGCAGCACTGTTCCTCTCAGCACCTGCTACACTTCATACGTACAGATCCTAAGGGTAGGAGTCAGTCTGCACAAGAGACCGAGATGCTATCAGCATGAGCCTCAAGGTTAACAGCATCTCTGCTTTGAGCTGTTGTTCATTGATGTTAAGGCATAAGAGTGCAGCAGATTTCAAGTAGTTGCTATGATAAATGAAGCCATCAAGTTTCTTAAAAGAGATGACTACTTTTATTGGTGACAATAACTCATGGATAAGTCACAGCCCTTGAAATTGCACGTAACTTCACAATATTGGTTTACCTTAAAATGGCTTGGATCACTATCTCCGTCTGAAGCAATGAGTGTTACTGCACTAGAGAAGGTGGGAGCTGCATCCCACTCAAGCATAAGCAGTTACAGAAAAATTTTTTCAAGAGTTTGGTAGCTGTATTTTCATTTATCATCTGCATGAGGCATCATTACCTGGCAGCTCTAAAGTCTTATTTGCTCCTCAATAATGAACATGCATTTTCTTCAATTAAGAATATATCCTTGAGCTGAAAAAGAAGTATTAGACGCTGTTATACAAGAAATAAGATCTTAACTCTTGATAAAATTAGCCAAAAGCATACCGCAGAACACTCATTCAGCATTCAGTTGAATACAGTATTCAAAAATGCATTGATTTAGTACCCACCAATGGTATGAGTCACTGGAATGTTGGTTGTTTTTTTCATTTCAACTAAAAGAAAAACAGCCAAATTAGTGAAGCATATAGAATTTCAAACCTTAAGGAATTTTGGCTAGTAAAATAAGATATATCAGAATTATGCCAAAGAAATGGAACATAGCATTTGAACTGTCCAGAAATTATACTGTATTGATATAATTGTCAGGTTTTTTACTTTATATTTTTAGGCATGTCACACCTACACCATTCAAATCCTTAAATAGCATCTTATTCTGCAAGTCAACTGGCTTAGCGTCTGGTTATAAATTTAAATAAAGCACATGTAGTAAAGCTAATGTACTCCTCTTACAAGTTTTGACATTTAAGACAATGTTTATCAAGAGCAAAATCCTAAAAGCAAAATCTCGACAAGTTATAGGCAAGTTATTGCAGCTTTGCCCTTCAAAAGAAGTTATCTCTGCATAATAATAAGTGGTACTATGAAGCTGTTCAAGATATAGGAGCACAGAAATAGCTATCTTGAAGCTATCGGTAAAGACTCACTTGCTCTGATTAGAAAAATCAATGATTATTGCAGTGATAAAAACAAATGCACTTATGCTGAAACTATGCATCTTTCATTAACATTAAATATGCAACAGTGGATTATTATTTTTTTTAATCACCAATACACTGATAATTACATTTATTGGAGTTGCAGTGGCTAAGAGCCAAATTTGTTCGGTATCCAGAGATCTTCAGCTGGGGAATATGATACTTGTTCAGAAGAGCTGCAAACTAACAGCATATTAGAAAGCAGTAAAAGGCTGCATGGCTATCTCAGCTAGTTAACATTTGACAAGTAGAATTTATTAGACATATGCTGTGTTTATAGCAGAGGAATTTAAACAGTCATAATAAAGTTTTTTAAAGGTTAAAATTCTAAAGGGAAGTACTTTGGGTAATGATATCAAACATTACAGTAAAAACCTGATGGCATAAAGGACAAACTGCACACCTTAAGGTAGACATGACAAATTGCAGCTTACCAAAAGGCCAGGGTGCTATATTTGATCAGCATGAACAAAATACATCGTGGGCATTTTCTTAAATGCGGAGATGTTGCCCATGCAAACTTCATACTTCCAGCACACAGTACTTCATGGTGTGAGCAGTTTAAAATCCGTAAGGGATATAATGCCATAAGGTAAATCATGATCTATCATACAGGACACCGTGCGCCTTGTGGACTGCCTTTTGCTCAGCGCATAATTTAAAGAGCAGGTAATTCAAAACTGAAGATCTGTTCTAAGATTTTGATGCCAAAAAACGTCTGGCCTTTACCATTTCATA